TCTCTGTGCATCTTGAGGTTATTGATAGATCTAGATGAAACATAAAATAAGAATTGTATTATAGAGAGCTCTAAAGAGTTCTTCTCCTTCTGACTCGCCATCATTGTAACGACTAATTGTACGGCTCATTCTCAAAAAAGATACAATTTTTGTTATATAAACAATCTCTGCAAAATCACAAAGAAAAATATGTACTAGACTTCTACTTAGCTGTAGACCTTTTTAATCTTCTGCTCATCAGCTATTTGATCTCCAGCACTATTTAAACTTGTCTACTGCTATTTAAAAATATTCATAGCTATTTAAATCGTTACTGATGATGAACAAAAATACTGCGGGTATGGGTATGAATGTCTCTTCAACCCTATCGTCGTCATCCACACTCACACCCAACACCCTTACGTGCAGTTGTTGTTGCAGTTGCTGGTGCAGTTTTTGTTTCAGTTTTTGTTGCAGCTTTTGATACAGGTGTAGCTTCAAGAAAATACAGTTCAAGTTTTTTCAAATTTCCAAGGAAATCATTAAAACTACTGATCTAATGAACCACCCAATGAAAAAGTTGTTGACGCATTCCTGAGGGATTAAAAATATGAAACACGATAGAGCTTTTTATGTTGTAAACGAAGCGATTTAGCAATCTATAGATCCGTTCTTAAACTAACGTATATGTGTATGTGCTGACAAATTATAATAACATATAACCTGTCTCTTAGGGTTTGTGACGAGACCATGAAGTCTGCTGCTTACGGGGTGGATAAGGACATAAGTGGATGAGAAAATAACACCCACACCCACCCCGCGAAAAAGAATCTCACAGATTTTTCATAGTCAGTCATTCAATAAAAGAACAGATGAGAAATTCTATACGAAAGGAGTCAGCTACTTAAATGATTTAATAATTGTGCACATTTGTTTAATTAGCTATGCTGTTTAATTAAAAAGTATTTCTTTTGAGCAACTACGTCTTCTTGGGTTGCTGTTAGTAAAAGAAGACAAGCATATGCAATATAAATTATATTTTATTTAAGATATAAGATATTGAAACGCACAAATAATAAGAGAAATACTAAATTTTGACACTACAAAGAAACGGGTTAGCATGCAAAAAATTTAAATAAAATAGAAAAATCAAAGCTGAAGATAAAATGAAAAAGGTAATGGGTTAGTAAGAAAAAAATTGAGTAAAATAGAAAAATTAAAGCTGAAGATTGAATAATGAAGAAAAATGTTCCGTGATGTCTTGACAGTCAACAAAGTTCTTTGGGAAAATTGTTGCTTCTTCTTGAGATGCTAGTCCTTAAAAAAACAGGCAATGTAATCAAATAAAAACAAATATCTTGGAGATTTTAGTCTCAAACGAAGAACATGAACAATTTATCAATTGCTAAAATTCAATCTTTAGTCTGCCACCAAAATTAGTGATATGCTTGTAACATACCTGAATGACTAACGGCGACGATCATCATCTTCACTGTCATCGCGAGCATCATTGATACGACGAAGAACATCAAGAAAAAGATCATCCTTAAAAGCACGGTTTGTGACAACATCAGTTCTTCGTTTATGTGTAGCTAAAAGAAAGTACAGTTCAACGGTTTTTTCAAATTTTCGAGGAAATCATTAAAACTACTGATCCAATGACCCACCGAATGAAAAAGCTGTTAAAGTAATCCCTATGGGATTAAAAATGTGAAACACCATAAAGCTTCGTATGTTGTAAACGAAGCGATTTAGCAACTTATAGATTCCTTGTAAAAATAACATATACGTGTATGTGCTAACACATTGTAATAAAATATAACTGTCTCTTAGGGTCTGTGATAAGCCTTTTTCAATGTGACTCCGACATCTGTGATGTGTCGTTGCTAAGCATGTCTCTAACACCTGAGGGGGAAGAGTGTGGTCTACGTTGCTACCTTGACATACTTCAACACTCCCTTGTAAAACCCGATCTAAACAGGTATGAGTTTGTGTTTATTAGGTGTATAGTCGGTGGGTGTGAGTGAGGGGCAAAACGAGAAGGCAGTCAAACTCACACTCACAACCTCAACATGTCTCCTAGATTGTCAGTGGGATAGGATGCAGATTTTTCTTCACTACGCAGACTTTATCCTTTTTATAAGAAGTGAAAAGATCTTCGCCGCTTTTATAGTAGCTTGATATCATACGTTTCTTTGTTTTCCCCTACAGATTAGAAGATACTGTGGTTAATGTCAGTATCAGAATCGAACTATTCACGAAAGATAGTTCTTTCGATAAGTGTAGTTATGAGAAAATTTGCCTTTCATAATCGCTCACTTCTCTTCCGAGACATCCGTATGACTTACCTATACCTGCCATTATGTACGAGGTATACGTTGTATCCGAGTCAGGTGATGGATTCTGTATATTACATCGTCTGAATGTACAATGTCCACTACTACTTATGTCAATTGCAGTGCAACCATTTGTACTCTCGCATGCGCTCTCACATTGTGACAAACTTTTGCCGTCCACACTGTTCATAAATGGACAAGCGGCCACATTCAATCCACCTTGACCTGCCAACTTGATCCAAGCACCTACAAAAAAAAATAGAGAATTGTTATGAGAAACAGTCAAGAACATGGTTATTACGAAAATGGTACCCCTGTACATTGTACCTGATCGTGAGAAATAAATGCTCTATTATCAATATCTATGCTTATTTCCGTTTTAGTGCAAGTTTATAACCCAAGAAAACTATTACAAACCATAAATGTTCTATCACTCAACAAATTAGTACTTGTGTTTTGTACAGGAGAAATCGCAGAATAGCCTGTAGCAATACTATAGTTGTTGAAAGTAAAAGGGTATGACTATAGATGTGCGTGTCGGCATGGATGTAAGAAGAATATAATATCTACACTCACACCCCGTACCCATACGCTTCAGATATATGATAAAAGCAATCGAAAGTAAAAGCAACTCACGGTTTCCACATGTTACACCAGTGTATTGCGATGGACATGTGCACGTATTTGGAGCAGTGCAAGCGCCACCATTTTGGCATGGACTTGAGCACACAGCTAGAAAAGAAAACAATATAAACGATAAAAATAATCAAACCAACTAACGCGTTCCGCATGTTGCACCAGTGTATTGTGATGAACATGTACACGTATTTGGAGCAGTGCAAGCGCCACCGTTTTGGCATGGACTTGAGCATACAGCTAGAAAAGAAAACAATATATGTGATAAAAATAATCAAACCAACTAACGGGTTCCACATGTTGCACCAGTGTATTGCGATGAACATGTGCACGTATTTGGAGCAGTGCAAGTGCCACCATTTTGGCATGCAGTTGAACATACCGCTAGAAAAGAAAACAATATATATGATAAAAATAATCAAAAGTAGAA